TCTCAGCTCCTCCGTGAACCAAGGAGCCAGTTGAGATCTGCGCCGGGTCAGAGGCCGCAAAGGCACGACTCGGTCCAGTGCTGCGGCAGCGGCTACTTCCCAGGCCGCCGCCTGATTTTCCGCCGAGTCGTGAACTAGATCCTCCGGATATGGCCCAAGCTCCGTCAGGAACCTCTCAGGGTCCATCAGGCGCCTGGGATGGAACCATCTACGCGGTTCCGTCTCCCTGCGGCGGGGGGGAGCGGTCCGGAAGTCCATTTTCAGGAGTGAATGATCTGACCATGACAGAGGCTCAATGATTACCTCCCCTGTTTCCAGATCATTTTGCCACTGGCCAGAGACAAAAATTAGATCCAGTGTGTGTCCTCCTATGTGAGTGGGGGCATGCACTAAATTCCCAAATTGCCTCTGATTTGGGCATCATCCTGAGCCAGAACATGATAGTCACTAGATTAGTGAAATGGTAGGGAAAAAACCACTGCCATTTATTAAAATAAATTCTCAACTCTGTGAAAACTTTGTTACAATCTGATCTTTAGTAAAACCCCTACTATGTTCAGTGACACTTAATTTGTGGAAGAATTGCAGGTTTAAGGAGGGGACACTGGAAATGCTTGTATATTTGAACTACCTTTTTATATATTCCAATGAAATTATATTTTGTGTTCAGTTCCCCATTGCAAGGTGAAAGAAATTTTCATTGTTATATATGTGAATGCCTCTTATGCTAAAGTACAACATCTGCAACATAAGAGGTCCTAAATGGCAGCATCTTAACTAATAAATATCTCACTAACACAAAGGAAATACAAATAAATATTTCAGAGGCAGAAAATATGAAATAAATTTAAATCTATCATAATGTTGTAGAAAAGATTTTGAACATTTTTTGATCACTTTAATCTTATGGAGTACTGAAAATTAATCCTAAAGTACCAGTAATTCATAAACCAGTTTAAGAATCAGTGAAAGGTTGAGATGTTCTGCTGGGAATACAAACAAAACTATCAGCTGCTTTAATTGGGCTTTCCAAGTTCTTTGACAAATAAATAAAATTGTCCATAACTTCGGTACTATATACAAATACTTTCAAATGTAGCTCTCTACTTCTCATTTGTTAGAATATTTAAACAAAAATGTGTATTAAACAGAATTAGAATTTGTTTTGAAATGCAAGATTCAAATCTCACATGTTAAGTTTCATATGCCTGAAACACACTGCAATTTCAAAGACACAGATATACAGAAACACTCAGGAGTATGATACATCAAACCGAGGGAAGGTAGGAGGCATGCTGTTCCTTTAACCAACGCATATAACTTGCTTAACTAATTAGAGTTAGCTTGCAATAATCCTGGTCTTATTTGAAGCTAAGCTATTTGTAAGAATATTTCAAGTGACAATAAAAATGGAGTCCTTGTGGAATCAGTGATATATGAATGTGATTGATAAATTGAGTATATAAACCCAACTTAGATTAAGGGCTTTAATCCCAGGAAAGTATGCAAAACTGCAATCTTTTTAATGATAATTATTCAGTTGACTGTATACTTACCGCCTTAAGTCTTCGTGCGTGATATTCTTCAGCTGTCACATATGGCTTTGGTTCTATAAGCTTATCAGTGACATTTGACACATAAACACCAATTTTTGTCATTTGTGTAGAAGTTGTATTTATGGTCTGTTGTAATTTCTTTCTTTCTACCACTGTCTAGAATTAAATAAAAGTATTAATTTTAAAAAGGTTAAGCATTTCTGTATAAATTAATTAAACTGAATTAAAAATTAATTTATGAATGCATTAAATTAACAAATATATAGAATTATAGAATGGAATTATTTAATTATCCTATTCTAATAGACTGGAACATATTTAACTTCCAGATCAGTTTTTCTGGCCCATATCTCAGGGTTTTCATTCTTTATGAACATATCTGGGCTGACTTACTGAATACTTTGTATTTTCTGTATAAATTAATTAAATTGATCAAAAGCTAATTTATGAATGCAATAAATATATATATAATTAAAGAATTAAATTATTTATTAGTTTCTAATATACAGAAATAGATTTAATTTCCAAATAATTTTTCTTGCATATATCTCAAGGTTTTCATTCTTTCTGAACATACCTGTGTTGACCTACAGAATTCTTCATATTCTTTGTCTAGACGTTTTTTGGGATCTGTCTGTGATCCTGCATTATGATATTCTGTGCCTGTTTCCTTATGTCTAAATCCACCCAAGAATGGTTTTTCGAATGTTGGTCTTTTAATTTCTATACATACATCCTGAAAAGTGTCTGGCTCTGTTCAGATAAAACAGCATTATTAAATTATAGCCAACACTGGGCAATTAACCAGACTATACATTTGATTGTTCTTTACCTGTTTGAACTTGAACCGTTATAACATCAGGCATATAGTATTCTTGCAGGAGTTTGTATGCTTTGAGTGGAAAGTTTTCATTGTCTAATGAGTACATATCAAACTGTATTGTCCCATTAGGTTGCACACCAAGATTCCAGAGGGTTTCATAATTTTCAACTATTCTCCCTAAAAAGAAAGTCAATATTAGGTTTCACAATGAATTAAGAGGTCACTTATCTTTGTTTCTTTGATCATTTGAGGAATGTGACAAATCCCAAGAAAAGAGTAAGGAATGCCATTCTATGTAAGGCAACTTTCAGCCTTCACAGGTAGATCAGACAGAAATCACAACCAGGTGAGCTAATTCTATTTTATTATAAGGCTACATAGAGAGAATTTTGCAAGTCAGATAGTACAAACCTCCCAACATTTCTTTTACAGTCTGAAACGTTAGGGAGGGCCCATCCTGAGTTTCTTTGCCCATTATGCAGCTGCAGGGATGCCCTCTCTTATCTGATTGTTCCCTATGCAGCATCTGTCCACCACCCCCTCCCATGGTGATTCCAACATACTATTGCAGCAACTTAATTTCTTTAAAAATTACTAAGAGTTACTTTTCTACCTCTTCCAGAAATACCTGCTGTAAAATAGCCTGGGGATTCTCAAACAATTATGCCTCTGTAAGTAGGAATGGACAGTGAATGACAGCATAATTATACAGTGAAAACAGAGTACATAACAATTTGGGGAGTTTTCAGTACATTATATTCAGTCACTTTTAGAGTTTGAACAATGTCCAGTTGGTGGTTGCATTTTTCTAAACTCACTTGAGGATATTCTTTATGTACACATGGATTTCTGTTGTTATTCAACAAACAAATAATTGCTTCTCTAAACACTGCAACCATATTTGGAATCCTGTCTATATTTATATACATGAAAAAACACAGAACCTCTTCATATTGATACAAACCTAGCAACCTAATTTGCAAAACATCCAGTGGTATTTTTAATCGCTTTGCAAAGTACTGTTTGATTTGCTCCACATTTTGATTAATGTTAAAAGTCTTCGTGAAAATCTGGATATCGGGATGCAGCATGAATTTAACTGAAAAACAAATACATCAATCATTCTTATGGTTCTTCATTAATTTCATTATTTCTATCAATTAGTAAGAATTAAATTTTGCTTGTGCACTTTTTCTTTTTTGTGTCTTCAAAACAATTAAAATCAATCATTTTTGTTAAGGCAAAAAATTAAGTAATATTTATTTAATATGCAGTTACATGATGCCCACCTGCAAATCAGACCTGGATGGTAAGTATAAAACCAAATTAAATAGAAAAATGACAAAAATAGTAAAAACACAAAGTAAACATTTGTGCAAACCAAACATAGACCAAGCCCCATTAACATCCAGGCCCTAACGCAGTGATGGCGAACCTTTTAGAGACCGAGTGCCCAAACTGCAACCCAAAACCCACTTATGTATTGTTGGGTGCCGGGTGGACGTGGCCCATTGGGTGGGCGTGGCTGTGGTGGTAATGGCAGACTGGGTGGGATAAAAAAGTTCAATCAATCAATTCCAACTTTGCGAAATCTTTTTTTTTCCTGCAAGAAGTTGAAATTAATTGATTCATTGAACACTTTTTTTTTGCACACGGAGGCAGAGGGCTAAAGTGAAAAGGTTTTATAAAACCCACCTGAAGGCCTAGGCCTGGGGCGACGATGCGCGTGCCCACACAGAGGGCTCTGCGTGCCACCTGTGGCACACGTGCCATAGGTTCGCCACCACGGCCCTAAGGTCTGAGAAAAGAATCAAGACTTCTGAAAGGCCAGCAAGATCAGGGCAGTGCTAACTTCCGGGAAAGGCTGTTCAGTATGACCATAACAGAGAATGTATATTTCTTCCTGGGTTCCATAAAATGACACTGTTTCATAGAAGGGGCCTGGAACATGCCTATTTTATTGGATTAAATACGATGGATAGAAACTATCAAACAGATAATCCTTAAAGTATCTTCGAGCAAATTGAAAGTAACTTGCTCCTGGATAAATTGCTACTCTATAAATGTCCAGGAAAAGAAGCATTTCTTAAGCTATCATACTATCTCTTGGAGAGACTCCAAAAATTTTGCAGCAACATCAGAACTCCTTAGAGTTGTAATGATTGAAGCTGTAAGTAGCTATAGAAGCAAATAAAATAAATCACTCACCCACCATCTTTGCCAGCTAAATTGAATTAGCTGTCTTCTGTAAACAACTGCAATAGCTAAAAAGGAGTTTCTGTAGTTCTAAACTATTTATATTAACGAAGCTGACAATGATATGCAGTGATTAGTTACATATTTGAACAGGAGCAGAGAGATATGGAATTAAATGTCACCTGACATTAGAATTACCAGATGACATGTCCCAGTGATTCACTCTCAACTTCAAGTAAGTCTAAAGCTATTATTTTAACAAAAAGACGATGAAAGAAAAACAAATTTCTTGGAATAAAATGGTATCAAAGCGTTTGATACTGTATTTCACTAGCATGATATACTATATTACAATAGTCCATCTTTTTAGAAAATGTTATTAAAATAGTGAGAATTAATCAGTCATTATGAAACAGTGAGAGTATATAAAGTGTATAAAGAGTATATAAAGTATATAAAGAGTATATAAAGTATATAAACAGTGTGGAGTATATAAAGGAAGAATTATTTATAAATGCTTTTCCCAAACTAGTATTCTCTAAGTCAGGGGTGTCAAACTCGCAACATCACGTGACGTGTTGTGACGTATCGTGACTTTTTTTGCCATTGCCGGCAATGGGGTGGGCACGGTTTCGCTATGATGCATCCGGCCTGTGGGCCGGCAGTTTGACACCCCTGCTCTAAGTTGTTCAGCCTCTAGTTGCCTGAATTTACAGTGAGAAATTTAAAATGAGTTGGGAAAGACTGCCATATCGAACATAATATATACCTGTTACAATAGCATTTTTTATCATTTCTGTAATCTGAGCTGCCAAATTTGCCATGTTTATGTCTTCTGGAACAACAGCTGCCAAAACAGGATACTGTTCAGAAACACCATCACTGGCACCTGTACTTTCAGATGTTGATGCATCTGTCTCAATTCTAGTTGGTTTAATTTCATCACCAAAATCATTTGGAAAATCTTGGAGTTTTGCATCAAATTCTGTTTCTGTGCTGTCCAACTCCAATGCCAATTCTTCAGCAGCAGCCACATCCCCAACTAGCTCTTCCTCTCTGTCTGGTTCCTTGGCTGTGGTTTGATCTGTCCTCTGCAACAGCTGCTCAGCAATATCTGCATCCTGTACAGGTTCCTGACTAATGTTCAGGTTCTCAAATGCATCCGGCTCTTGTTCTATAGCACCATCTTGCTCTTGCATTGGTTCATCAGCAATATCCAATTCTTGTGTTGTTGAATCTATGTTGTATTCCTGCTTTGCAGATAGACCTGTTTCATTCAAGGGTACTGTATCTGTCTGCTCCTTGTTAGAATCTGTAACATCTGTAATTTCTTCTGTTTGCTTTTCTGTAGAAGTGTCTTCCATAGCTTGATTTTCATTACCTACTTAAGCCAGATTTTCTGAATCAGCCATTTGCCTGAAAGGAGTAACATAAAAAGCAAAATGTACAGGAAACAAGATTTTAAATTTAAGCATATTGTTAGTATGCAGTCTCAACTGACTATCCTTGTACTCTTAGGCAGACTATAAAACTAGTTGTAACTCAACCCCCCCAAAAAAAGCCCTTCAGACCCAACACATCTGAACTTTGTCATTTTAACTAAAGATTTGTACATTTAAGTTCAATATATTTAAGCCATTTAAATCACATTTTAACCACCTGAAATATAACTGATAATGCTTGCAATGTATTACCTTCCAAATATAATGGTCTGCAAATGATATCCAGCTAACATTCCCAAGAGCTCAACTTTTCTGGAGATTATTAGCTTTAAAAACATTGATTTATAACTTTATATGTATGCACGGTTTTCTTTCTTGCTCATTTGTTGTTTGAAACTCCAACATTGTTTTATATTAGAACAGGGCTTTTCAACCAATGGTACGGGTACCACCTGTGGTACATTGGCACCTGGCAGGTGGTACGTGAGCATCCCAGAAAAGTGGTAGCGGGGGAGGGGAATGAGCTGAACCGGTGGCAGCACCGCACAAGCCTGAGCGAGAGATGGCTGGAGCTGCAGGGCTGCCAGGGCTCAGCGGAAGCGCCAGGATCAGCGCTTCTTTGGGACTGTCAGGGCTCAGCGGAAGCGCCAGGATCAGCGCCAGGCTCCAGCTGGAGCTCAGTGCTGATCCTGGTGCTTCTGCTGAGCCCAGAAGAAGCGCCGATCAGCTGGAAAGCAGCACTGATCCTGGTACTTCTGCTGAGCCCAGAAGAAGCACCGATCAGCTGGAATGTTGCAGCATCTCCAGGGTCTTGTGATTTACATTCAGATGCTTGGCAACTGATTCATATTTATGATGGTCACAGTGTCCCAGGGTCATGTGAAGTGACCAAAACCTGCTGCAACCACCCAGCAGACGGGGGGGAATAAAAACCAAACACCCCCCACCCCACCCCTGCTGCCAATCCTCAACAGAAATGCTCACAACAATGAAAACCTCAGACAGGAGGAAGAGCGCCGCCGGGCAGGCAGGCAGGTGTCTTGCTCGGCTGTGGCTTGGGGGGCACTTTTTTCAGCGCCATTGTAACTTCGAACAGTCACTAAGTGAACTGTTGTAAGTCAAGGACTACCTCTACTTCATCACTTTTTTTTTTTTTTGGGTCATCAAGTTTTTGACACCTTGCTAGGCGACGGGTGGCACTTGGATATTGCCATATCCTAAAAGTGGTACAATGGGTGAAAAGGTTGAAAAGCCCTGTATTAGAAACAAAAAGTAAAACTATGCAGTATAAAGACTAAATTCTTTTTAAACCGATTTTTCATAAATAGCATCTATCCTTATATTAACATTAGTACATTTTAGAAAGGCAGTAGCAGAGCATTTTTTTTACTTAATTTTTAATTGTGAATAATTGAAGCGGATTTTTTTAAAAAAAAACCTCTGAAAATATTATGGTATTAGGAAATATTTTAGAAAAACATCATGCCAGTTTATCATCATTTGACTCACCTTATTTCTTAGGAGATAATAGGGCAGTGATATCGAACCTTTTAGAGACCGAGTGCCCAAACTGCTATCCAAACCCCACTTATGCCTCGTCGGGTGACAGGTGGGTGTGGCCCATTGGGTGGGTGTGGCTGCAGTGGTAACGGCAGACTGGGTGGGACTAAAAAGTTCAATCAATTCCAACTTTGCAAGATCTTTTTTTTTCACGAGAAGTTGAAATTGACTGATTGATTGAAACTTTTTTTTTTTGTACACGGCGGTGGAGGCCTAAAGTGAAAAGGTTTTATAAAACCCAGCTGAAGGCCAAAGACTGGGGCAATGGTGCGCTTGCCCACAGAGAGGGCTCTGAGTGCCGCCTCTGGCACCCGTGCCATAGGTTCAGCACCACTGTAATAGGGCATTACAAATTTCTAATGATAAAAGAAATAATCAAAACCCAGCCAAATTTCACAAAATGCTAAAAGTAGACAGTACTGTATCAAAATATTTGTATTAATTCAAATTTTACAGTAATATTTCCTTTGAATTCTAGTGTCATATAGAAATGGCTTGAATTGGTTGCAGTAATACATTCTCCCACAAACCATGATAGCATTTTTACTAAATGCTATGTTTCGTTTCATTTTTTTCCTTTTGTTTGTTGAATTTATATAGCTGCCCATCTCACATACATGACTCAGTTTATCTTTTTTAATAACTCAGGTAAAAATAATAAATAAGAAAAAAACAGAAATAAGTAAGCAAAACAAGAAACCCATTAAAACCAGTAAAACAATAAAAAAGTGAAATCATAAAACTCTGTCTACCTGACAGACAACACAACCAATTCACAGGCTCTACATCTCTACCAGTTTCTCAGGCCCATGGCAAAGCCATGTCTAAAGGGCTTCCGAAAGACCAATAGGCTCAGCGCCAATTGGGAGGGGGATGATGTTCCAAAGAGCGAGTACCTTTTTAAAAAACAAAACAAAATAGTGCTAAATATTATGATCTTTGCTACAACTTGAAAAAGTGTATGATATATTTGTCTGAAAATCCTAAAGAAGATTCAAGAGAAATTGTCTAGTAACAGGAAAGTGATAATGATAGAAATAACATTAATGAAGCTTTAAATATTATTTAGCAGTCCTGAATTGTATAGAAATGCAATTCAGAATGGGAGCTGCAAAGTTGACTATGGATATATCATTGAGAAGTAAAAAAAAAAAAAAACTATGGTGGTGATCCCCTATAGTGCCAGTTCAGCGCCCAAATCAATTTCTTCAATCTTGTCATGTGAAAATGGGTGGCACATCCCATTACTCTCAACATGCATTCTGCATGTTCTTTATTAACTCAAAGGTGAGCCTATTTTGATCTTTTAAGATGTTATACTCATTTAAGGAACAACATGCATAACTAAAAGGATATACTAGTCCAACTATACTTCTCGTCTTAAATAAAGCAGGATGTTGTTTTGAGTGGCTACTAAAATAATGGATTCCAATAGACACCATTCCGCTCTTGACTACTAAGGTTTCTTATACATCATTCAAAATATGGTAGTTTAAAAAAACTACCAGATCTGGATTACTAACAGATGGCAGATACAGAAGGCTTTTGTTCCTTTTTGATTCATTAAAAAGTTTTTGTCTGTCCAATTGATTACATTCATTTACTTTGTGTTGTGCTTTTGTTCCTCCCAAATGACTTACTATTAGGGTTATCGATGAATGGTTGCCAATTACTTCTGCAAATTTATGTACCCACCATACTGTAATCATAAGGATATCACACCAATTACACCTGCAGTGGGAAAAGTATTTTTGGACGTGAAATTTTAATACTTTGAATAGGAAAAAAGAAAGAAAGAAAGAAAGAAAGAAAGAAAGAAAGAAAGAAAGAAAGAAAGAAAGAAAGAAAGAAAGAAAGAAAGAAAGAAAGAAAGAAAGAAAGAAAGAAAGAAAGAAAGAAGAGCCATACAGAATAATCTACCTCTCTGGACGTTGACATTTTTGCACTCCCAGCTCTGGTAGTCCTACCCAAATATGGGCAACTTTTTCATACAGAAAAAAAAAGGAAGGGAAAGAAGAGCATTGCGTTTTTCTCTTTTAACGTAACATTATCTTTATTGAAGTTTTAAACAAACGCAACCTGTAAGAACAAGAATAGCGAATCAAATTCAACTCTTATTGAAAGAATTATAAGAAACTAATCGCAGAATTGTAAAGCAAAAAGGGAAAAAAGAACAGGCAGACTACAGAAGAAATTAAAAAAAACAGAAAATTATAAATAAAAATCATAAACAAGACGGGAAAAAAACCAAGTGTACGATAATATAATGCAGTTAAAATGTTGAGATCTCAAAGCGCTAATATTACATTCATGCAAGAATAAAAGTATCGTTTCTTGCGCCTCTCCCGGTGCCACTCCGGTACTTATACTACAATTCCCAGAGTGCCACACTAACCCATATCAGTTTTCGAGGGAGGGGAAGCCCTCATCTTCTCATCGGCTGACTACCATCCCAAAAGTCTTTGCGCCGCGGTCGAGCGTTATAAATCGCGTCCCTACGAAAAGCATGTTGGGAATTATAGTCCCGGGCTCAAAGAATCATACGCTATTTTGTCGCTATTTCTTTTAAGCATAATTCCGTCTCAATGCCTACTACTTTCTAAAAGCCTCCATTGAACAAATAAAATAAAAAAGGCAGGTTTTACCTCAACGCACGTTTTCCCGGAGCGATCCGTAGCTTAGCTTTAACTCTAGACTCTACAGACAGGATTATGTATCTATAGCAACCACGACACTGAAGATTCTCGCGAGAACTCGGGTTCCTGAAGATTTTGGAAAAAAAGCATGCCTTCGAAGTTCGATGAGGCCACGTGACCTCTTACAAGCTGGCGTGGAGTCTCATTCCATTATTATAGAGAGCCGAGTTGATTCTCAAGAATTCATTTTTTAATTAAATTATCTTATTGACACTGTATTTGAACAAGGTAGTGTACCACGATCTCGCCAACTGGACTCGAAGGCAGACCAGGATTAGTACTTGGGTGAAGAAACCACATTATACTTGTTTAGAGTAGGAAAGTTAAAATATTCTAAAAAAAACGCCTGGTGAATCATTTTCAAGGACACTATAATATAATTATGTAATCACCGGGAATTTAGCTAAACTTGAGGCATTTTTAATAAATGTGTCTGTCATACATGACAATACATGGTTTTAAAATGTACAAATATGACAGGTAATACCAATTTGGTTAATGTCTTGTCTGGCATTCTTAGCAACTTATTTAATTTGCAGAAAATACACTAAAAACACTCCAAAAGTTTAATATAGTGATAGAAAATACAATCATAATACCAACTGTTTTCAAGTGAAGCAATAGAAACAAACATGCCAGCTATATCTAAATAAAAGCTAGTCCTATTTAACAATAAAATTCTATGCAGTTGTAAACTTACAGCTGGCAAATACATTTGCTTCTGACTAGTAGTGATGTTAAATGCTCCTCAGAGCTGAATTCTCCCCTTTAACCAACTCACATCCTGAAAAGAATGCAGCATTCGCTATATACAGAGCCCTCTTGTGGCTTGCTAAGACACACTTTAAAAAACCACACACATAACTGAGTGGACTTGATTTAGCAATTAATCCCACCAAACCAAATCTATAGTTATTACAATGACAGTACTTTACAGAATATACTAATATATCTAGAGATCACTGCTTACATGCCATAAAGTTGTTGACTCTTAGTGACCACATAGATTTTAAAGATTATAAATGTGCAAAAACTAATTCTAATTGGATCAAATATCAGCACATTAGTTTCCTTGTCTATTTTGCTATTTTTTACTTCAATCTACAATTCTCTCTATTTGCTTGCCTACAATCATCATTGGCTCAGGGTTTGTTTAACAGTGAGAACTAAAGATTGTTGAAACCATAATCTGAGATAACGGGATTAGTTCTGAAACACACTTTCTCCATACTGTTCAAGATGAAAAAATAGAGAGAAATTTACAGAAAATAAAAATTTATGTTACCTTCAGAAACATACCGGTATTAAATATTTCAGCACACTATGTGAATTTGATAAATAATATAGGCACACATTCAAACATATTCCTGGTCTTTTCAGAGCAGCAGACTAAAACAGATCTAGTAATCTCATTGCTACCCTTTGAAAACTTTGAGATTTTAATTTTCTTTCATGTATATGTATTTAGTAAGCTGGGGAAGTTTTGATAAAGTTAGCGCATGAGAGTGTATGTATGGATGTAATATACAAAGCATACAATTCAAGCAAGAATCCATGTAGCATTTCTCTCAAGAATGCTGCAAGAACAAATTCATAAACAGCATAACAATAAAGTAACAATTTACTTATTTTCCCCTTTGAATATAGAGTTAGGACCTAGTGCAGATAATATATTTTTGGTACTGGACTCTTAATATAAACTATTTTACTGTCCCTTATTCTGAATGGATAAATGTATATTTTCACAGTACTTTAGCAGAAGAGTTCAGGAGAATCCTTTGTACTCTTTCTAAACTTTGTTCTACCATTTAATTAAGAGTATGAACTTGGTGCAACAGGGAAAAAGAAAGTACAGGGATATTTATATATGTAGCTATTCAAAGAATGATATTACTCTGAAAAACATTTCTTACTGTGTCATGAATGTAGTGACCCTCCATTTTATATTGAGACAAAGTTTGGATAAATAGACAATTTCAGTCATGTCCAGCATACATTTAATGAAATAATTCTGTTTCCTCTGAAGGTTAAAACACTGTTAATTACACTGGCCATTTCCACTGGTTTTCTGGAGGTTCTTCAACTAAAGGTTCCCAAGGACGGTATTTCAACATTTTCTTGGCTAAGGAAAGTTCATTTTCAGCCTGTTGACAAAATATAGATTTGATTTTATTTATTTATTTAAAACTCTCTGAAAGATGGCACTCTCAAAACTAATTTGCATACATGTTGATAAGAGTTACTTTCCCAAATCACTTTAAAAGAGAACTTAAAATACCAAATCTCCTCATTATAAAGGTTAGCATGGATTGGTGCCAAGTTTTTATTTGTTTTTAAAGTTTTATGTTTTAACTAGTTGCATTTTATAGTTTTAAAATCATTTTTAAATGATTTTATATGTTTTTTTAATCTTTGTTTGGAAGCTGCCCAGAGTTGGCTGAAAGATGGATGGCTATATCTTTTGAATAAATAATTTAATTAAATTGCTTGTTTAAAACAAGGATTTTGACTGACATTGATTCTTACCGGACAGTTTGTATAGGAAAAAAGAATTTACATGCCACACTGCTAAGTTTACAAATTCAGTTTAGTGGACATTTTCTGTACCTGATATACTAAATCATTGCTAAATACCTGCAGAATCACTTCTTCTATCTGTCCAGAGTTTAATTTGTTTTCCAGCCTTCGCACATCAGGTTCCTGCAAGTAAAAATAAATGAGAAACTCTGGTGCAGTATATTCCTCTATCTCAATTTTTATCAACCTCAACCACTTTAAGACATGTAACTTCATTTTTTAAAAATTAAAATACTGTTATTGCTATTTAACTTACTCAATAGGAAAAAGAAAACCTATAGTACAATAACTCAAGAGAAGTGCAGGTTTTTGATCCTGTATTTCTGATCTGGAGTTATTGTTGTTAAATTACAATTGTTATATTTTATCATAGTTCCATGTTTTGATTTTTGATATATTTTTGTGGGAATACTCAGCTATTTCTAAATAACTCAAGTTATGCAACCAAATGTCATTGAAGCAGTGCAAAGATGGATATAGAATTCATGTTGCTATCTTATACTTTCTGGAATAAGATTCATAAACAATAATGAAATAGTTAATGTTTAGGATTGACTGTGCTTGTTGGAAATAAAGTATTCATCAAATACATATCTCTTTGCAAAAAAACCCACCCCTGTATTTGCTGAAATGAGGTTGACTCTGAATTTAAGAATGTCACCTTTCAAGCCTGAAAGCTATGTCAGTGAGGCTAGTATTTGAAGGGGAAAACTATTAATATCAGAATTATGGGCACATACATCAAGTCACTAAGAGTCAAGTTCCTTTGAAAAAGACTACGTTTCCCATCAAATGGACACACATACATACATACACATACACACACAAATCCATATAACATTTTTGCATAATATCAAATACTCCCTTCATGTCAATCCCAGTTTGCCTGTTCCAGCTGAAATAAATCCTGGAAATTTCCCCCTCATCAAAAAATGTGAACTCATGCCCACATCCATGTATACAAGAAGCTATATAAAAGGAAAAAGAAAAACCAAAAAGGGAGGTAATTTAAATAAGGTGCAATTATTTTCTCCCCTGTATACTAGGCATTATCTCACACAATCCATTCTTACAGAAAAGCATACAAATATGTGCATATATGTTCCATTTTTTCATCCTTTTCATGAAAAGGGGAAACATGATGGAGAAGGGATAAGGTATTAATAATAGCCAATTTTCAGACTGTTACCCATCAGACCATCTGCAATCATATGCCCCCCCCACCTATACTTCTGTTTTCAATCATTTATTCTGTTTTCATTGGGAAATTCACATGTGATTATCTGGGGGAAAAGCTTGTTTTCTTACAGAAATAGAGAACTTAAATCCTTCCTGATCATTAAGAAACCTAGTTAACTGAATTAATATAAATCATAATTAAGAAACAGATCTAAATAACAGTATCAAAAAATTATCATTTGATAAATGCAACTTGACCCCAAAATGTCAATTAATTCAATTTATACTTACTGCTTTCACTATATCAAACCGTTCATTTGTAAATTTCTCTGTATATTTCCTGTATGCTGCATCCTGAGGCATAGTCTCTAAAATACCCAGAATTTTTGTATATAGTATTTTGAGGCGCTGAAAAGATCACATGGCAAAGAGTAATTTTAAGTCAGGCAAAGTGAATACATTGAATGTGAGCTACTGCAAGATTTTAATGTACTGCAAATTAAAACAAGAAAAATGATTCAATGACTGTCCTCAGAAAAAGAATTCTTCCACAAAACTTTCTAGTGAAGTTATGGCAATCCTAAACTCAAGGCACATTTAGAATTAAGGAACTGCTTTCCGCAAAGGTTTTATTTTCATAAATCCAAAAATGTTAATTCAGTCATGTATTTGCTTTTCTAACATTTGATTGTCTATAAGAACTTTCCAAATCAAATGTCTACCTTTAATAATAATAATAATAAAGTTGGAAGGGACCTTGGAGATCATCAAGTCCAACCCCCTGCTCAGGCAGGTAACCCTATACCATTTCGGACAAATGGCTGTCCGGTTTCTTCTTAAAAACTTCCAATGTTGGAGCATTCACCGCTTCTGGAGGCAGGTTGTTCCACTGGTTAACTGTTCTAACTGTCAGGAAGGTTTCTCCTTAGTTCTAGGTTGTTTCTCTCTTTGGTTAGTTTCCATCCATTGCTTCTTGTCCTGCCTTCAGGCGCTTTGGAAAATAGCTTGACTCCCTCTTCTCCGTGGCAGCTCCTGAGATATTGGAACACTGCTATCATGTCCCCCCTCGTCCTTCTCTTCATTAAACTAGACATACCCAATTCCAGCAACTGATCCTTATATGTTTTAGCCTCCAGTCCCCTAATCATCTTTGTCGCTCTTCTCTGTACTCTTTCTAGAGTCTCAACATCTTTTTTACATCGTGGTGACCAAAACTGGATGCAGTATTCCAAGTGTGGCCTTACCAAGGCATTGGTAAGGACACACATTTCTTACCCATTGAATATTTTAGTACAATTATACCATATCTTTTCTTGTGCATTCTTTTTTATCCGGTCAACTAAATCAAGAAAGTTCATCCCTCATCCTTCAGATACAATTTATACTTAAATTAACAATTCTAAGATATCCTAAACCTCTAATGTGACTGGATAAGAGAACACCATTAGGAATAGAATCAATTGACTTTACAGGAAAGGTAATTCCGATATAGGTCCAGACCCAACAAAATAGCTTTATCACTTAACTGAAACATTGAAACAAAGTGGGCTTCAACCTGAGCTACAAATATTCTCCTTTATTGGTACATGGCAAAGTATCTTATACTTACTTCATGTGGATTGTTACATACAGCTAATCCCACAAGCCCAGTAGTCTGTAGGTATGAAGAAACATATATTAAGTCGAGCAGCAGTCTAAATCAAGAAATCAAATTTACTTATCTGAATAATCAATTAATTTGCATATGGATAAATCAGCATTTGTAAAACATTTATGGATATTATATACATACCTTCAAGTTCTCCAGAACTTATGAAGTATATTTTTTTAAAAAACCAAGAAGCAAGACAACAGAACACAGATAAAAGAAAAACAAAACGTATCAACAAAAGTCCAAAACTTATGCCAGGTGTTTGAGAGAAAAGCTGATATTTTTAGAGTACTAAGCAAAAATGGATTTAAACCAAAAGTGTGAAAATTCCTCTATAATTTTATCTGTTGGTTCATCTTAATCACATAACTCCAAAATAGATCTGAAATTATGGTCACATCAGATTAATTTAACGAACTGCATGTCTAAAAACACTAAGCACATTTTTTAACAAACTAAAAACAATTTATCTTTTTCCCCTTTCAAAAAAATATCAGCAAGAAATAAAGCCAACATATTAGCAAACCAGTATGGACCAAACAATAAAAATCATGGGATGCTTAGAGAGTCATGTAGATTAACTACTTTCTACAGTATGTCCATAAGAAACAGTTATCTGGAGGTTTTAATGAGATTACAGGGAATGGCTATAGACATGTAGCATAAAGGTCTGGATTCCATGTGGACTAGGATCCGTCATATGAAGGAAGAATCCACTGTGCCTAAAGGAATGGATATAAGGTGATGTAGCCACTGGACATTTTTATAGGCCACGTATTTCTCTTTCTTAGAGCATGAGGTAAAGGATATACCTGTGAACCAATAAAATAATTGACAAGTGAATAGAAAGATGACACTGGGTGCAAATAACAGATTAAAAAAAGTAATCTCAATGTGTTTGCACTTCCGTGTGCACACAAAGAAAATTTCTTTTCAGATTTGTATAGTATCAATAACAAAAACATGCAAATAGAACATGGCTCAGCACAATTGTGAAAACTACACCATTTACAGGAGTATGGCCAATCAAAATAAGATGCAATAATAGACTTAAGATATTCTCCATTCCTTTAAGGCAAGACAAGTGAATAAAAATGTTCCTTCATGAACCAGCTTCATTCTTGTACAGGTAGTCCTTTAATGGCTGCCCCATTTAGCAACAATGAAAAAGTAACTTTACAACCAGTCCATTTGTGACCTTCGCAGGTCTGTAAAGCAAAAGAAAGCTAAAGTAAAGCCATAAGCACAGTCAGTTTCACTAAGCAACTGCTTCATTTAATGACCAAATTGCAGTTCACGCTTATGACTGATAAACAAGAACTCATCATCAAAGTTGATATCAGTCAGAGCATAGAATAACACAAAATAGTGCAAGATCAGAAGATGTGAATAGACCTGAACTATAGACTTGCCAAGAGTCCAACACCACTGAATGAATAACATCATCATTATCAAACAATTATCTGAACAAACTTACCTGGGAGTAAAGGCTAAAAGTTTGATAAAGGATGGTGAGGAGCCTGCTTTGACAGCAAACTGCGAGAGCAGACATTTATGAAATTGGCATATATTTTTCCTGGTGGCATACATTCCACAACCACAATCCTGTAAAATAGATTGGGCTGAGAAAACAACTGGCCCAAAGTCCCCCAGAGAACTCCCATGCTTAAGAACGGAGTCAAACCTAATCACCATCACTGCAGCCCCCTTAAGAGACGATGCCTCTCCCATGTTGCTCAGCAGGACAATGCTTAGCTGGCAATTAGGAGGGCATCAAGTTAGCAAAATCTAATTTGAGGACAGCACTCCAAAGCCTGGATACTGAAGGGAAAAAAAATCTGCGCTAGGATGTTTCTGCGGAGAACAGCGATTCCTTATCTCTTCTAAGATACTGGCGCATGAAGATGCGCGTCCCCTAGTTTTAGCCAAGAGAGCTGAGAACTATAAATGTTGGCTAACGTATCTGCGTGTCCTCTCGACTCTCACCTTTTTCAGGACTCCCGCCATTGCCACTATATTAAGGAATAGGAGCAAAAAAGATCATGAAATCGTTTCACTCCGTCGCCAGCATCTAGGAACTGAAGCTGAAAGGTCTTCTAACTCGCGTAGACAGAGGGCAATTTCTAGGACAGCGCAAAGCGCATGCGCTCCGACCACATTGGAAACAGGAAGCGAATAAAACATAACGGAGAAGTGGATTGGTTCTCGATTTATGCTCGCCGCACATTCTGAGGGGACGTCACTCAGAGCTGAGGCGGGGTTGCACCGCCCATCGGCCATGCGCTGGAGAACGTGTTGGGGCGGGGCTGACAGGAGGGCTTGTGTTTGCTTTTGTTGGGGAACTGCTGATTGGTCCGCGCTTTCAGAGTGGTGCTGAGTAGGAAGTGATATTGATTCTAGTGGAGTACATCCTGAGGAATTCTGGGAGTTGAAGTCCACACATCTTAAAATTGAGAAAATTGGTCCTTCTTGAAGATTGGTTAATGTGCTTTTATTAGGAAGCAAAGTTACCATCGTTGTCAATAATATTGAGTGGTAATCATTTTAAAAGACTGGGCAATTGATGCTGTATCACGAGAGTGAATTAAAACAAAAAGTGATTTTTATTTGCATGGATTGCGTTAACGATTCTGCAACAACATCTGCAATAAATTTGATAAAGGTTGACAATGTTATTATAAGCTTTTGCGAATAATAACTGATTTTACTAGAAGATTACGAGTCTCAGTCTGCGCTGCACCTATTTGAACAGTCATGAGAAAACAACAAAGTTAATCTCTCCACTCCCGTGGGGGAGCAAAGGATTTTTGCAGCCCAGTTCTGAGGATTTTTTAAAACTGCTTTCAAGTCAGTCTTGACTCCTGGCGATTACCTAGGTCCTAGACAAATCCCTTTGGTTTTCTTTGCAGGATTTCAGAAGTGGTTTGTCTTTGCCTGCTTGCTAGAACAGAAAGAGGGGAAGGGAGGGAGGGAGAGGGAGAGAGAGTAAAGGGAGAGGGAGGGAGAGGAAAGGGAAAAAAAGAGGGAGAGGAAAGAGAGGGAGAGAGAGGGAGAGAGAGAGAGAGATAATATAGCTGGCAGTATTATCTCTATGCCCTGCTTCTTAACAAGTAATTTTTTCTTTTACAAAAAGAATCTTCCTGAAGAATCTCAGCAGATGGCACCATCTACTTGGCCATGTTTGTCTGGAAGGTAAGCAGGATTAGGCCTGTTTAGTATACAGATGGGAGTCTTCTAAGGAACTCCAGTGCTGGAATGCTGGCAGAGTTATGTCCAGAAGTGCCACACCTTAGAAAGTTAGTAGCATTGCTTTATAAACTTTGTTAGCCAATGAAAATCAGACAACAGAGCCATTACATCATAAGGAAGACATCAATCATTCCTGTACATTCCCTTATTCCTTCCTTCTGTACATCCCATCCATGTACATGTTTCCCATGCTTGCATGAGATTTCCCTGGTGCAAAAGTCGATTACAGAAAGCAAGAAAGCAACAGTTAAACTAAACAATTTTCCTTTGTTCCAGTTACAGAACCCTTCGATATTGTCTCCAGGAATTCAAATAGTGATGCCCTTCTCAACCTCTTAACTATACTCCTGTGGTTGGTTCCACTGATAGTCATTGGCTTAAAATTTGTAAATGTGCTACTGTGCTTCTATCATGCCTGCATCTTCTTTTAAATACCAGGTGGGCCACTATGGGATAAAATGCTGGATGACTTAGCTGCTTAAAATTGTAAAGAACATTTTAACTATTCTTATGATTGCTTTTATATCATACATTGTAGAGCAGTGGTTCTCAACCTGTGGGTCGGGACCCCATTTGGGGTTGATCGACCATTTCACGGGGGTCGCCAAGCAAGGCTGTCCGCCATTTTTTTGTCCGCCATTTTTTCCCCCTTTTCTGGCGGGTCCCTTGGGCTGGGCCAGCTGGTGGTCGGCCTGCTCTGTCTCTGCCGCTTGCCAGCTACGCCTTGGCCGGCGCAGGGGGCAGAACCACGCATGCGCGGCGCTCCCGGGCGGGGAAAGTCCTTGACTTACGACTGGTTGGGTAGTCCTCGACTTACAACCGGTTTAGTCCTCGACTTACGACCGGTTGGGGTCGCGGCATTAAAAAGGTTGAGAACCACTGTTGTAGAGCAACTTCCACTGTGGAAGATAAATTGTTATTTTACATATATCCAACTCCTTTCATTTTTCTCCAGTGGCATTCATTTTTTGTTAATATTATATATTTAATTTGCAGCTCTTTCCAACTGTTCCATTTACCTAAGGGAAGGGATGCTATTTTTCACTGCAGGATTGTATTGAGTTAGAACCCATGGTTAACCTTTTGACTGACTCCAGGTCTCAATTCTCACAATACTGAACACAAATTTACCATACCAGCTGATTCATATAATATACTAAGTCATAACCTGGTAACCTGCAATTCTATATTGTGCAAACTTTAGCTTTACACGTTGAAATCTGCCATGGTTTATTTAGCCATGTTTTTTACTAAGCCACAATTGACAGTTTAGTAAAATCCAAAGTGGTTAGATTTGCATAAAATGCTAAGCTACTACATGCTGCAGCAGAGTAATAACATTAAACATTGGTTGCTCTGGTTAATGACCATCGAGATGTTGCCTATCATGAGGCAAATAGTTTTATTATATCTGTTAGACTTCAGATAACCTTTGATGAGACTTTGGAATAATTGTGTGTCATATTTTCCTGTAGGCTGCTTGTATTTCAGTTGTCTGAGGTCAAACCTTAATTTAACTATCAAGGACGTATTTAATTTTAGAAATACCACATGATCCAGCCGCTCCGAAGGCCTATGTCTCTACATGTTTGAAATTCAGTGGCCAATAAAACAATGACAAACTTTTGAAAGGTAAGTTTTTTTTCCCTTTATAGATTGTCATTTAATATAGTACAGTTAACTTAAAACCAGAAATATTATGCTATGAATAAATTCAGACAGAGATTGGAAATAATGACAGATTGTTTTGTTGTGAATAATTTATGTCTGTGTAGTTACTCCCTTTGTTATTATGGAGAACTTGATATGTGTACATTGTTAATGTGTTAAATCATCAACAATTATTTATAAAAAATAATAAGGCAGAGTAAATAAAGACAGAGTAAAAGTAAATATTTAATCCATGCCTAACTAAGACATATGGAATTTGATTTTAAGCAATCCTTTTTAAACACCAAGCAATCACCATTCCTGGATGTGAAAAACTTCTCAATATATCCACTTTTAGTAAAATCTGTGTACTTTGAAATGCTTCATTTTAGTTTTAGAGCTCAGGAATATAAGTCAGTGACAGTAATTTCAGTTTTATTTTCACGTGAAAATAAAAATTAAATCATAATGAATTTGCTGTCAATTTTTGTGAACAGGGTTATAAATGTGGATTGTTCTGAGGTAGTAACACGTGTTGATAGGTTGTGGTTTTTCTGGTGATGTGTATCAATGGGAGCAGAGAAAGCTAGGTAACAGTCAAAGCAGATGACTTTCCAAATCTCTCTCACCCCCTGACAGTTTTAACCAGGAAGTTACTGAAAGAACACACTATGGTTCAGGCGAGATAGAAAACAGAAATCTGAGATTGGGTTTATGGACATACTGTCTCCCTAGACTAGTGATTTTCAAACTGTAGTTCACAGATCATTGGTGATCTATGGAGGTCTACCTAGTTCTTCATTAGGCCAATTCAGAACCTGCTTTCTGCCACAATACCTGCCTCCCTAAACTTAGTGCTGGTCAGCAAGTTCACACGTGGACCATGCTGATAAATGGGGGCTGACAAATGGTTTGCTGAAGCATTCTAGCGATAAGACAAGTAGCAATGGGGTTAGTAAAAATCAGAAAACTGACAAGTGCGGTTGCTGACTATGAGTCCATATGCACCACACTATTTTGAATAGTGATTTTGTATAAACAATCTAAAAAGATAGGACAATATCAGTAGGAAATGTGACAATAAAAAATGAGATAGAGTCACTTATTTTCAACCCTTCACCCTTTGAGATTTCTATCACATTTCTGCTAGCAATGGTTACCGCAACGCAAGACAAAACAAAAACTAATCAGGAGGTAAATAAAGAGATAAGTGTGGATTTCAAAATTTTAGAACCAAATTTAGCTTTAAAATGCTTTTTTAAAAATGGAAGGGATGAGGAAACCTGCAAGTAGTCCTCACTTAGCAACCATTTGTTCAACAACCATTTGAAGATATTGCTGTGTGTGTTTCAACTCCCCCCAAAGACACCTATCTCTCTACTACTTTTCAACTGCCCTGCACTCCTCTGTCCTTGCCACCCTGCACTGCACCCCTGCCACCCTGCATTCCGCTGTCCCTACCACCTCTCTGTGGCCCCAGCTGATCCTCTCCCTCCCGCTGCTGACAAGATGTGCCTGGCCGGGGCAGCTGCTGACTCTTCACAATACTGAGTCCTCATGAAGAGCCAGTAGCTGCCTCGTCCAGGTGTGCCTTGTCAGCAGTAGGAGGAAGAAGATGGAGAAGGTCAGCTGGAAGTGGAGCAGCAAAATGCAGGGTGTCCAAAAGGACTGAGATAGGCAGCAGGGGAGGGGGGAGTTGGCAGTGCAGGCGAGCATGGCAGGGTGGTGAAACCTGGTCTGCCAAACAGAGTTTGCCAGGCCCGGCTGGAGAGGAGGCAGCTGGATAGAGTAGGCAGTTTGCATAGAAGTGCATCTTTGCCTACCAACCACACTTGGGAGTACCAAACTGCCATTGCTAAGCGGTTTGGTTACATGATCACTGCTTCACGTAGCAATGGATATTCCAGTCCCAATTAGGATTGTTAAACAAGGACTACCTATACAGATGAAACTCTAATTGTTATTTACTGAAAAACATTGAACACTCAGATTGTTAAAAACAAAAGCATATAAAAGAGACCCAGTTTAATGAAGTGGTTACAGCACAAGATAGCAACCAGGAAACTGGTTCTAAGCATCAAAACCACTTGGGTGACTTTGGACCAGTCACTCTCTCACAGCCCAATTCACTTTGCAGGATGGTTGTTGTGGGGAAAATAGCAAGAGGACAGAGTATTAGATATGTTCACCTCCCTGAGGTCATAAAAATAATTAAGTCAGAATAATTTTAAAAAAATGGAAGTCCTCACATTTTCCAAACAGCTG